TATTAAAGCTGAAAGATGGCAGGCTTAGAGCCCCTTCCAGTCAAACATTTTCTTGGATTTCATATTTTTTTCTGCCATTAATGTATGAGATATGTTTCTACAGCAAGGATTGCGAAGACTGTATTCCAAGCAGTTTAGTTACAGAAATACATTTCCTTAATGAATATTCAGATTTTACAGCATTCTGTAGATAGACAATCATAGTTAACCAGAAATGGATTGCTTAAAAAAAAGAATCTTGTTCTAATTTGGAATTGTAACATCTCCAGGTTATGGATCGTTGAATTAAATGGGTTTTTGTATGGGTTTTTGAAGAATGTGTAATTTGTGCACGCCACAGTTTTTCTTTTTGATTTTTTTTTTCATGAGGTGCTGTAATGATTCAACTTCCTCTAGCCTGCTATTTCCAAAATTATTTAGAAAGGCTTAATAATAAAAAAGAAAAAAGTCACAGGCTGACTGAGGCAAGCACAATGCTTAACACCTGCATGTAGAGTGCAGTCTCCAACAAAATGCTATTGATTGTTATCCTGGCAGAAAGCAAGCTTAAATACAGCTTGCTTAATTACCACAAAAATGCTCTTTTATGAGTAAGGTGCTTCATGTTTGGAGGTTTTTTCGTATGTTGTCTGCTAAGTAAAATCCCATCACACTTGTATAAGTTTGCTCAATTATCAGAGCGGCTAAGAGGAGGGAAAAAAAATCAATTTACCCTGAAAAGCGCAAGAAATAAGATTACCTTGGTAGGTAGGAACTTGCCAGCACTGTCCAAATTGCTTAATATTATCAAACATTGCCTTTTTTCATGTTCAGTAAGAAGGATATTGACTATTCTCCATGTCCAGGTCTGCTATTTGGCTGTTTCTTTATAAGATATAAGCATGTCTTATTTTTATTCCTACAATAGCGATTATAGATAAATCAGAGGATCTAACAATAACTTTATAAAATAGATGGAATAATACCATTCACTGGAGAAATAGTATTTACTTGAGATAAGTGATCACCACCAGTTTTTTTTTTCTCCTGTCCAACTTGTTGTTCTTTTAACAGACAAATGTAAATACCTTAGCAGACATTTCAGAGTGAAAGGCAAGAGATAAAATGTAATTACTTTTCGGAGTGGCCCTGACGATGCTCGTGTTCTTGTCTGTAATACAAGAAAAATCTGTGCTCATCACCTCAGAATATGAAGGCCATTGTTACCCCTGAATATAAAAATATTTTCTGATTTTTAATGTTGACCTCAGTATTTATCTTCAGCTCTTCTGTGTAAGCTGGAATCCTTATAGCCGTAAATTGTAGTCGCTCTTATCCAACCGAGCATTTAATAGAGCACCTAATGGACTCTGCTCCTGTATTTTTCTTGAATGCATAACATCTTGCTTCATTCAGTCACCAAAACCAACTTTGCTACAAGGACAGGCTACACGACAAGTTAGAATCAATGGACCGTTTGTATGTCACAGAGTCAGTTTACTGGAATTTCAGAGGAAACTGGTTGAAAAGAGAGGACAAATGTCACTTTGAATAGAGATGTTTAAATCAGACTTCTGCCTTAGGGTAAAATTTAGGTCTGTTGTAGCCTAGATGTAATGTCTCCCTCTACAGAGCACAGCATTAATCATGGCTTGACAAGTGATCATGGCTGAGAAAAATAGGGCCTGTCTTGGTTCTGCAGGTTTTTGTGGGCTTTTTTTTTTTTTTTTTTTTTTCTCCCTTAATCTCTTAGGAGCACATTATAAGCACTAACATTTACACAGAAAGGTTTAAGTATTGGTGCCTGTGTTTCAGTCATGTGAAGAGCTGGCTTCAGAGGAGATCCAGTTTGAGCTATTGAGAAGCTGCTTAGGTTTCTTAGGTAGATTCAGTATCAAGAATATTTTCCTTCCAAAGTAATGCAGCATTTTTTCTCATAGCAGATTCATCTTACTCCATTTCATCATACAAACACTGTAAAGTTTAGGCCTGTTTTGTCCTGTGATCTGTGAAACTCCTCTGAAGTGACTGTTATTGCTGCTGCGTAACCACTGTCCTGCACTGTTTTATTGTGTAAGAGAGGTGCTCCCTTTTTCCTGAAGGGCCAGCATGGGGTGACAGTAGATTAGTTTTAATGTAAAGTGGCTGACTTGATGCTGATAAATGTGTGTGAGTTTTTTTATACTATGTTTATATTTTAGTGATACATTACTTGGCCACCACAAGCTACAAATGCTTGAATGAGGTAAGAGGAGCAAAGGCTGCTATTTAAGATCCTGAGTTCTGATACTGTACAGATGGAAGCAAGTTTTATATGTTAATTCTTACATTACGGAGGCCTTGATGCACAGATTAGGTGTTGGGAGTGCTCATACCTTTTATGGTAAAGAAGATTGGTAATGAATTAACACTGTGAATAAGCAAATTGTGGTGCCTTTGCTATTTTCTCTAGTGGAGATAGCATGTAGAGCAGCTTAGCATTCCATATGCATGCCTTCCAGAGAGGTACACCTTTATAACGTGCAATTAGATTTGTATCTGTGACTGTTGAAAAATAAAGATAATCAAGTAGGACCAAAACAAATCATCACTGGCGAACCGTGCTTTTAAAAATTATACTCTGTTTATTTATTTGCCTCTGGATGTGATAAAATCCAAAATCTCATTTCGAGCAGGAAGCTGCTTTCCTTTTTGCCCTCCGTTGGTATTTTTGCATCAGTCAACACCTCAAACCAATTATTGCTCTAGATGACAGAATAATCTAACACCGATTACTGTAAGAATTGTTTCTGGCAGCTGGGGAGAGGATGACCAACCTTGTTCCTGGTGGTGATGCTTTCCTTGTTGCTGGTGGGATCCGGTGTGAATAGGGAGGCTGGCTCTGGAATCAGTGCAGTGGTAGTGTGAGGGGTCACATGCAGAAGGAGACTGGAGTTCACCTTTCTCTATATTTTCTTGCTGTATGTATCTATTGCTTTTTTAATATAGCACTCTATAATGGCGTGAACAGTGTCCAAAATTATTCCTGAGCAATAGGTGCTGTCGGCTTTAAATAAAGCGATTAAAACATCGATTTATCGCTTTAAAGAAGGATTCCCAACGAGAAGTTCTGCTGTTGATGTTGCATTTCTCTGACAAATCTACAAACCCTGTTTTTATGGTAGGCATAATTCTTTTCGTCTGGTCCAGACGTCCCTGTGTTCAGTCTTTGAAGTTTAATTTAGACTTTTTCCTATGCAAAGTGACTGAATTGGAAAATTCTTTCACAGAATGAGTAACGATGCATCTTCCCTTTGAACAGCATGCATTTTATCCAGAAGACCAATCCATAAGTATTTTCCTGGTAAATCTGTCATTTAAATATTGAAGGGAGGGAGGTATCTCGGTGGCTGTGATGTGCCTCCCTGCTGCAGGTACCACTCCCGGCAGCGGGTCCCTGCCTGCAGAGCACTGCAGGGTGCAGGAGGGAGAGAGAGAAGGAGGCTCGCAGCATGCAGGGGAGGGGGCAGCTGGGGCTGGGAGCCATGTGAAAGGCACTTGAATGCTGACATTATTTGAAAATGAGAATAAATCCTTTTGCCCTTCTGGCAGTTGTACCCTGTGATGGAACAGAGTATCATCTCTTCCCAAATGTTGGATTTTTTCTGCTTCATCTCCTTCCTCATTCTTTTCCTCATTTGAGGAGGTGTATAATAGTATCTAATAATACGTGGTTGTGGATCTAACTGCCAAAGGTGTTCTGGCAGCAAGGAAGAGCTCTGGATGCAGCCATCAGCATCTTGAGGTGAACGCCTCAAATCTGCCCTACATCTGTCCCTTAGAATGCCTGTAAACTTAATAGAATATCACGAGCCTACTTCTGTCTTTTTCTGCTGGGGTTTTTATTTTTTATTTTTATTTTTAATCGCATACTGAATGCTTGAAACATTTTATTTTGGAGCTTATTTTTCCAGCAAAATTCATGTAGGGCCTAATTTTTTATTTTATGAATATACTTGATTAATCTAATGGCATTACCCGTTGAAGGAAAGAAAGTGGGATTTGGCTTTATAAGAGAAATAAAAACCCCAGCATACTTCCATTCTTTCCCTGTTAGCAGAGAAATGGACAGTGCCTCGTGTTTTCCCAGGTTTTTGATGGTGTGTGGGTGCTAAAGGGTAGCAGGACGGAGACTTAATTTTGGTCTGCTTAATATTTATAGCTTTATTCATTGAAGCTTCTTTGCATTTGTGTTGGTGGAATTTTTATCTGAAAACTTGTGTTATTAGGAAGAACAAACTTAAGATACTTTAAGGTAAGATAATGCCTTTCATAAGAAAAGCAATTTTAATCCAATTGAGTGAAAATTACCTTGCTACTTCATTATTTGATATCAACTGCTAGAAACATTGTTGATTTTTGACGTAAGCTTAACCATTCAGTTCAACTGATTTTTAAATTTGGATGGCATGTGTGTCTCATTGCACCCAACAGTGGCACTGGGTGTTGTCTCACAGCAGTAAATGCAGTGATGGCTTGGGTTTGGGTTAGGCAGACTCATCGGATAGCATTGCTTTGTTTTTTTTCTTTGGGGTGAGCTTTTGTTTCTCTTTGGTTCTAGATAAGCAGTACATCTTTTAATTCTTATATTTTTTTTCTTCCATAAAAGGATTTAGATGACTGTAAAAGAAACACGTATGTTTCGATCCGGGGAAGACTAAAGCTGAATGTTTTAATTTTGAGGGAAAAGAACAGACACAGACATGAGGAGTGAAGTGTTTTCTGTGTTAACTCTTTATGTCAGGTAACAGTCAAGAAGGATTGCTGAGGGGATTCCTTTTAAATAGTCAGTGAGTTTTTGGGTTCCTGTTCCAGCTGTTACCCACATTTTTCACATATTTTTGCTAATTCTTCTTACTGCCTGCAGAGGGAGCTTGCATATGAGATAATCAGAGTAATCAGGACATTCAGGGCTGAATTGTTTCCAGTAAGTACAATTTCCTTCTGCTGTGCATGCTTTGCTATGCACGGCAGAAAGGCTCTGCAAGACAGCTTTTAGAAAGATTGTCCATCAGTAGCAGTAAATAACAATGGGAAAAAAAATAAAATCGTTAGTAAGCAAGAGCTGGCATAAATGCTACTTTTTTTTTTGTTTTTTGAAGGAGTGCCTCTATATTGGAGGTGTGAGAAGGAACGGAGTGAAACAGTTCTTGCGTGTCGAGGTACAGGAGAACAGTTTTGGTGCTCTGTATGACAGGGAGCAGATTTCAGTTGCATAAACTGTCTTCTCTGATTCTGAAAATGTCATGTCAGCATGAGAGACAACACAGTGCTAAGGGCTTCAGTTCCTCTTGAGCAGAGTAGTGCGCTAGCCAAAAAGCAATAGGTAAGTCTTTTCTATTTATGCAAGCGGTGTTGTGAATCATAATCATGGTGATTGAAGATGCAAAGCTAACTCTTAATTTTGCTTTTTCTGTATTATAAAAATGTGGATGATTCTATCCTGGTACGGTTGATGAATTTATACAGTTGTGCTTAAGCAGGCAAACGGTGGAAGGTTTTCTAGTTTAAGCTTTTAACAAAAATACAGACAAGAAAGAGTAAGGAGTATCAGAACATAACTTTATTTGTAAATAGTGAAAAATCAGAAATGCTTTTAATTGTTACTTTTTAATCTAGCACAATGAATGAAATGTTCTAGTGTACTATAGGTTTTACAATTTGTATTATAATTGACGGTGAAAGCATATGATCCTTCAAAAAAGTTGAGACCTTTTTAATGAAGAAAACAATTCATTTATACTACAGTTTTGCTTTCCAAACAAAAGCATAATAGACGGAACTTAGATGCGTTCTACACTTTTTATCTCTGGGAAAACAGTGGCAATCAATTTATTGTAAAATATTCAAGTAAATTTGAAGATGATTTACTGTGATACTTTTAGGAGATAAAGCAGTATGCATGCACATTCCATAAGACAGACACAGCATTCTGTAATATGCTCTCCTGTAATAAATCTGCCACGTAAATTGATATGAGAGTTGAATTTTTTTGTTGTTGTTTTGTTAAGCTTAAAGTTTTTATAGCTTAAACTAACATGTTCAGCCTCAGTCTGGTCTTAGGGTTTCAATTTGGATTTTCTTTTTAAACACCAGGAAAGACTTACCATATCTAAAAGAGCAGCAACTCAGTGTCGATTTATTATTTATACTGGCTAATCCTTGCTAATGTGAAAAGTCAGCTTGTTATTGTAACACCAAATGGCCCTCTAAGTAGGGAAACAGTTAAGTAGATCTCCTGTAATAGGTTGTTGTCTAATAAAGAGATTTATGGTATTGGCAAAGGCTATTGTATAGGTATTACCCTCTCACAGCATGATCATGTATTATCTTAACAACTCAGTGCCACATTTATGTTGAGCATTTTCATAACAGAGTAAGAATATTAGCCACAGCAATTACACTCCAATAGGATTATAATGGTAAGACTTACAGAAAATGTATAAATGATGTCTTTTGTAGAGATTTTGGTATGTACTGGGAGTTGAAAAGTTACAACTTCATTTTTGCACTTAAGGATACTGATGTATTTGCCATGATGAAGAAAGTGGTTTCTTAATTTGTAGTTTGCTGAGGAATTTTGGGGAGGCAGTGGACATGATCTTTCTTGTGTCTTTTACTTTCCCTGTGAGGTAAGGGCATTTCAGAAATTTAGTTCAGTGGAAATTGCTGTACAGTACAAAAATTGAGATGTGTATATATAACTCCAATTGTGCTGTAGGGATAATATGGCTGAGATTAAGATACATTCTTGTACAGCCTTGTGTTTGGAAGGTAGAACAATGATAATTTACTTGCTACACTGAAGAGCCTACTTGAATAAAGTCATATTCCTTCATTTTAGCAGCAGTGTAACTCATTTTCTGTTCCATCAGGTCTGTTTTTTTATAGTGATAAGTAACTTAGATACTTTAAAAAATGGCTACAAACAACAAAAATGACAATAATGTCATACTTGTACAGTTTTCATGGAAGTGACATTCAAGCTGTTCCTTAATTCTTAGAAAAATTCCATCTGTTTAAAAAAAAAAGATGTTAATATTCACTCACTTTGCAGAAGCAACACGTAAGCCACATTTAATAAAACTAATTATGTTTTATCAATAAAAAAAACACAGTGAATGATTGAACAAAATACATTAGATTGTGCTGGCATTTATGAATAACTGCGCTAAGTGTAACAGCAGTCAGAATTACTAAGGGTAGCTAAATTGCCATATATTTTAAGATGTTACCTTGAGACATTTCAGTAAATAATGAACATATACACAAACATACCGTTCTTCCTTAGTGTGCTGTAACAGAATGATAACTGGGGTTATTCCAATTTAAGAATATGTGTAGATGGCAGTTATTGTTGTAAAGAACTTCCCAGTATATGTTCTGCGTATTATATATGTCCATGAGTAGTATTAGCTAAAGTTGAGGAATGTGTTTCCTAGATGTATGGGATTAATTGTATGTATAACACTTCATGTAGAAAGATCTTGTGTTTATCTGTCTTAAATTGTTATTGATTACCTGAAGTAAGAGGTAAGATACTCCTGTTTCTTTTCACAATAAATACTTTTTATCAGTGTGTTTTAGAAGCGTTGCACACAGAGTTAAGCGTTTTCTGGTGGATTATTAGATGATAGTTGAGGATTGAAAATTGCATATTCAGCGCTGAATATTCAAAAGTTGGTTACTTCTGTAACCGTTACAGCACTGTATGACTTACATTTCTTCAGTAATTCATACATCTTGTATTTACACATCTAGAACAACAACAACAAAAAAAAAACTGTAGAGCTCTTTTAGTGTTATATTCAGAACAAGAATTATGATCTGAAATTTTTTTTTTTCAATTTTAGAAAAACTTCCATAGCTTCTTCGATTGGCTTTACATCATTCATTCTGAGCTGTGAAAAACTATTGTATCTTTTATCTGTAAGTAAAAAGTAAATGCATAAGGATGAATGTTAGTTACCCCCTGATGAACGTGGAGCTCCAACCCATTTAAGAGCATGAATTGTGGAGAGCAGAGCTTGACTTGTAGATGGTAACTAGGAAGCAGATAGGAACAGGAAGAAAAATGCATAAAAATTCCATAGCAGTTAAAGCAATTTTTTCAATGTTTTGATTGTTAGAATTCTTTATAATTTCTTAAAGTATTACAAATAAGATACAGTAAGTTTGTTTTATACATTTCTATCACTGTAAAATGTTTTCTAATATTTTAGAAGGAAAAAATACGTACAGAATTCCTCTTGATTGTTATCTATGTGCTTCTTAAACCACTTATAGAGTGCATATATATAACCGTGAGATAAAGACTATGCATTTTTCTTTCTGTACAAATCCCATAATGAATAGCTGCTTAAAATTAGAATTCTTCTGCTTATGAGACAATAAATCAAAGCACAAATCCACATTGCAGTCATTTTACTTGTGGCATGAATTAGAAATGAAGCCACACTAAGTCATACTTAACTGCCCCTGGACAACTAACCCTGGAGAAGGGATAAGTGTCTTTTTTTTTTTTTTTTTTTTTTTTTAAATTATAATATATATCTCTTTGTCTGTTTGGAACAGCAGTGTTGTTATGACTAATAAGGGTTTTGTATTTGGCAAATTGAATGCAAGTGATCAGTAGTTTTTGGCTCATGACTGAAAAATCTGCCGAACAGAGCACAGAAAGGCAGTCTAACATTTAAAATATACCTGTGAATGAAATTCATCTTTATGCTTCTGTCACTTGCACACAATTCCTGTATCATCATCACTTGATAGGATTTCTGGTGATCGTGGTATTTACATCAGTGTTTCAATACTAGCACGATTAGAAAGTACGTTTTCAGCCTGCTTGTTCAGCCGCTTAGTTTTTTTTTTCATTATTATTATTATTATCTAGGGAATATAGTGACTTAGAGTGAAATCAGCTTTTGTTACCTATCTATTTAATAGTCATTTTAAAGTTCGGTATATTTCAATTATATTCAGCTTAATTCTTTGTCCAGCCTTGATCTTTGTATACGTTGTCTTGCCAAGAGTCTAAAACCAGTAAATTTCTTGCTCCTAGTTTATTTTTCACAGGAACACTGGATGGAATGAAAAAGACTAACTTTACCTGAAAGAACACTTATTTGTTGTAGTTTTATGTATTTATTAAGTGCTTATTGAAATTCCTGTGCGGTAATTGAAGAAAAGTAAATGAAAGATCAGCTAGGACTCAACATAGTATTTATACTTATTTCTAAGGTATTTATGTCATAACCAATGTGTCAAATAAAGCTATGGTATTAACATTATTAAAACTCATCCGTAGGGATTTTATGAAAAATACTAGGTACACTGGAAAAAATTGTTGTATCTTCAGTGCTGTGTTTAAGCAGTTTTTTCATGACTTCTGCACAATTGAGAGATACGATTAATGTCTCCAGAATTACTTTTTTTTCAGCCATTACTATGGCTTAGGCGTTGTTCAAGTACTGCGTGCTGCCAAAACAAATTTTAAAATGTAGAAAATACATACATAGAATATTTAATAATATATACATCCAACTATGCTCTGTGGAATTTTCTTTGATTCACAAATGGAACACAGAAGGAGCTTCCCAGTGCTGAACTCTGAGATGTGTGGTTTCTTTGGTCGAGTCCATTTGACCCTTGAACACAAGGTGTCTTTTTCTTAAAGTGTTAATGAAAAATGGTGGGTACAACATGTTTTAATCTGAGTTAAAAACAGGTGCACTTTTTTTTTTTTTTTTTTTTTTAATACTGTTGGCTGGTGATTGAGAGCTTTCTGATGACATTGCCTGATGCTTATCTCTTGTCGCCTTGCATGCAGTGGCGGCCCTGTCATGGCTGCCCCTTGGGTCTTTGTGGAAGTGTGACTCTTCCCGTGATGCAGATCTTAACGCAGGGCCAGGTGCTTTCGGTTGCTTTGTAGTGAAACAAAGCTGCAATCGGTGCTAGTTCAGCTAATCGTCGGGGACTGAAACAGCTCCGTTGCCCCTCCCTTGCCTCCACAAAATCGTTGTGATACAAAATATCTGAGATGAACGCCGAAGTCTGAGATGAGCTGTCTTCCGATGATGGTACTCAGAACCCAAGTTTGTCCTTTTTCTGTTATTCACAGTCAAAAAGTCAAAATCTCCATTTTAATGAAGACATTTCAAAGAACAGACAGGCTTAGAAAGACATTGTATATCTTTACATGCTCCTTCCTTTTAAACATGGAAGGAACCCTGAGGCTATAAATTAGAGTTTTATGTTTGGTAGTTGATCGCTGACTGCCCAATAGCAAGGAATAGTTAAAAGTTCTATAAAAAAAAAAAAAAAAAA